GTGTTTCTTTAGGAACATCAACACCATATTTATCTAAATTATTGATATGATATTTAAATTCTTCAAGAACATAAATATTATTAAATATTATTATAAATCACAATACACATGCTATACATTATGTGAAATATAGTATTATTAAAAAAGAAACTTAATAAATTTACTCGTAATATATAGAGCATACATAAATTGAAATAATTTTCAGATTTTTACAAATCTATAGAACTTCAGAAAGTCTATAAATTTTGTAGTCCAACTTTTGTAAGATTCAATTCAAGCTTTCCACCTAGTGGAAACTTCAATGGGTTAGGTTTTTAAAAAGATTGTATTTCAGAAATCATATTTAAGGTTTACTTATCCATAAATCAACAGATAATTCAACTATTAACTTTAATAATATTATTATAGAATTAATTAATCTACCCATCCTCACCTCCATCCATCCCCAAGCCCTAATTTATTTTACATTTGCAAGTTATAGAGTTGTTCGACGGTGATTGATAGGGTGGAACCCCAGGAGGTAGACGGGGTATTATTATAAATGACCCGCTACTATTCATTTTTGATAAAATGTCTATTATACCCTTAATGAAATAATTTATCATATATTGCACAAGATATCCTTAATTTATTGGGATAGTTTTAAATTCCTCTATTTCTCTCATTTCGAGTTTTAATATATAATTTCATCCTTTGATCTAATAAATTAGCATAATCTGTAATATAATTGTCATGTAATTTACTAAGATTATCAAATTCCTTCGATAATATATCCATAATCTCTAATTGAGAATAAATATTTTCTATTTTTTCCATTAATCTATCTAACAGATTATCTAATCCTTTAATTGTATAACCTGGCATTATTCAAATAATTCCTTGCAAATTTTATGAATAATAACATATTTAGATAAGTTTTTTGCAAACATGAACAATAATAATCCCTACAATTCTTTCAAGATATTAGAAGAATTCTTTCTAAATTTAACAAAGACAATAATTTTACCTTACTTTTGATCTTAAATCTGTATTCTTAGAACCGAGTGACCTTCAAGCTCTGAATCTGCAAACTGCTCCCTTAAACGGCCTCTTACCTCAATGGGAATTCTGCTATTTCAGCTTCTTGCCCTCACTGTATCTTTTCTTAGAATTAAGAATAAAGATCTTAAGTAAAGAAAATTCTCTCTTTGTTAAAGTAAGAAAGAGATTATCTTCTTCAATCTATCAAGAATCTATGGGATAGTAAGTTTAGAAACTCATATCTTTCTGATATCAAAAGATTGAGATTTTATTTCTATAATGATTTATACAAGATTTATATTGTATACAA